CAGAAGTTTGCCAAATGATGTAAATAATCTTGGTATAAAGTTTTTGTCCACTTCTTACTCGAACTTCTGGTGGAGACCCTCTTAATCGATAATGATGTCAACACGAATACCATAAATTTACGATAAAAGTTAACGGCAATTGTTCGCCGAAGCGGTGGATGTGAATAGTGATGGACATTTACCGAGCCGCGAGGCTAAACGCAAAGCCATTTTGGTTCTCTTCGTCTGCTCGGAGGTGAAGAGTACATTACTTATCTCCTCCGAGTTAACCAATCAGAATGCGTAAAAAGCACTATTCACTTGTGTGGTATACAATGTCCGCCTCAGTTAATACTAAAGTATTTGGAAGAGACTTAGCGAATGAAACATTTAAAAGGCCTACAGGAGTGCTTATTACTGGTGTCGGAATTGTGCAATATCTTGAAAGTTTTCAGATATTTTAAAATATCACGAAAGTTCTGTTCCTTTATTACACCGAACCACGCGAAATGACTGTCAGATTCGCCCATATATCATCCTTTACACGCCATTTGCCCAAGTCAAACATGTCAATGCAACTTTTAACATACACTACGAGCGGGAAGTACTTCAATTCTAATCAACACTACGAAGTTTCCATTTCTACTTATTCCCAAAATTGCAGAATTAACTCTTGAATAAAACTAATAAATCTTCATTACGAAAAATAGTCCAGCTGGCTAGCTTCCGTGGAAGTTAACTGTATCCCTCTTCAATGACGCTACAGCAATATTAGGCATTTTAAAAACTACTTAAGTTCAAACTTCGCGTCACGGATCAAAATTCAATAACTCTTTAGGGCGCAGAGACAAACTTGGTAACTTTCGTCTCACACGGGATCAGGTTGTGCACCTTGAAACTGCTGCAAATTTGTGTGCCAGCTGACATCAAGCAAATAATTTGTTGGCAGTTTGTTCAGCTTTTGAGTTGAGATGTATAATAAAACACTTAAGGAAACAGTGAGATTTGTTTCCACTTGACCCTCCACGTTGAGAGTCTCGGGGGAAACAAAAGTACTCACTACTTCCCTTGGGTTAGTGCTTAGTGTATTTTATATCGAAAGGTAAGGCAAGGTAAGGTAACTTTATTACTCACTACTCAGAATCTATCACAGAATAGATAGTGAGTAGAGTAGCCAATCAGAAAATGGCATTCTTGATAGAACGCTAGTGGATTTATACTAATATAAGATAAAATAGTCCTAAAAGCAACTAGTCCTAATATTAAAAATTTGAGTTAGTATATACAGTTCATACACTGGTGCCATGCAAACTCCACACCATTGGTCGAGGTCGAGGTCAAGGATTTGGTGACAGCTGGTAACTGGTTCCACTATAGTGATGTCATAAAAACTCATGTCACAAGATCTTTTTTCAGTAGTTCTATCCATGTTTCATACTTTTTTGTCACTTTAAATATTGCTTCTTGATCCAATTTTCCCTCCTCAATCTCATGAATAATTGTTTTCAGTTTTTCTGCTTCATCTCCTTGCAAAATGTCCAAAGCATCATGCAGAACATCAATTTCCATCATAGTAGACTTTCGTAGTGCAATTTCTTTAGATGGTGACATCTTTACTGCAAAACTTAGCCTTGCACCTGATGAATAAACAGGACATTTAACAAATGTGACATTGATGCTGAAAGATGAATACTCTCATGAATTTGAGGCTGATAATCAGGGGAATAGAAGATACGGTTGGGAAAGATCTCCTCTCACCACTATGCTCACTGGTTCAATTTTGCCCAGGAGTCATGTGTTGGTTTAGTGTTTTTGGTGGCTCTTTCACCTTAATTTCAACTATTATCAAGCAATTTCATATCTGCAGAGACAAGCACCTTTCACTCCCAAATTCAGTACTTTCAGAATTTTCAGAATTGCAAAATGTTACAGTGAAGCCAAGTGAAGCGTACCCCTCAAGATTACATTAATGAATTGATTATTTGAATATTGAACCCACTAATCGTTTCAAGAATGCAACAATGAATTGACTATTTGAATATTGAACTCGCTAGTCATTTCAGAAATCAATATTAAATTTACTTTTTTGAACATTAACCCCATTAGCCGTATTCTTGGAACGACTAGTGGATCCAATTTTCCAATAATCAACTCATTATTGCATTCTTGAAATGACTAGCGGGTTCAATATTGAAATAATCAATTCATTAATGTAATCTTGAGGGGTACGCTTCACTTGGTTTGACTGTAAGAGGCTTTGGGCCAAAAGATGGGTCCTGTCAGAATTTGTAGCTGAGTTATGTGCAAACTATGGTGCCTATCATGAATTAATCTAAAGAAGGATGAGAGTGTTAAAAAAAGCACAGAAATAAATTCCAATCATTTGATTGTAAGTGAATAAAACTTTACAAAAGCCCTGGGCTTATATGACATAATAAGGGGTTTTGGGTGGGCTTATATATGGGGGAGGGGGGAGGCTTATATCAGGGAGAGAGTAAAGTGTCTTACCCTAGAACACAACCCAATGTCCCTGGCCAGGGCTCAAACCTGGACCACTTGATCCAGAGTTGAGTGCACTAACCATGACGACACCAGACCTCCTAAAGTTGGTCTCAAAAAAGTGCATAAAAAATGTTCCATACCTTCATATGTCAATGGTGGTGGTCGGGCACTATGTGGGATTGTCCCATGAAAAATAGCAATACGTCCATATCTTGGTCTCACTGCAAAGATGACCTCATTTCCATCCATATCATTCATGAACACCGTCTCGCCATGATGGTTCTCAGTCCAGTTTTGATTGAGGTAAATTAGCAGAGTATATTCATCCTCATAATGTGCACAATCTGTGTGAATAGTTGTAGTATCACTACTTTGGATGTTATTGCATCCAATGTCATAAGGATAATAACCTTCCTTTCCTGATACAGTAGTTACAATCTGACTGACCAGCTGCCACAGGGTAGTTTGCACGAAGTCTTCAACTTCAAATGCCATAATCCACTGTACGTTATCTCCACTATCTGCATCAGCAGCATTGTCATTATATCCACTATTCACAACTGTATATGTTAGGGCATTGAGTTCCCTAGCGGGAAGGATGTTATCCAAGACAATGACACTACGACCATCAGCGGTTGTAAAATTTCTAGTGATAAACTGTTTGATGTCTAGCTTTTCACTAGGAGCTGTGTCAGTTTTGTGTAAGAGTTTGAAACTAGCAAAATGCTCAAAAGGGTAAGAATCTGTCAAATCTGTTGTTGAGGAACTGTCAGCTGATTGTTCACTGCTTTCAGTACCTGATTGCCTCTTCTGATCAGACAATAACAGGTGAATTCTCATTAAATACAAGCGTTCTGACAAGTCAATTGCTGGAGGCTTGAGTACATGTTCCAAAGAGGCAGGAAAGATCACAGTTCTTCCTCTCTTGGGATATACAGCCTTCAGAATCTCACCCTCCTTATAAAAAACCAGTTCACCATAAGCGTTTTTTCTCCAATTCTCTACAAGAAAAATAACAACAATATAGCTGCTGTCGACATTACTACTAAACCGCTTGGTACAAGAGTGTTTTGCTTTGATGTTGATTTGGCCTTCGATTTCAAGTATCCCACAATCACCCTGCGTTCTAAGGTGAGATGACAATGCATGTGATAGTTTTTTCCAAGCTGGTGACCTCGAAAAAGTTTGAGAAGTTAGGTTAGCGGACCAACAGTAGCAAGATTTTCGCTCGGCTCGACTTCCTGGGTCCATGTTGTTCTGTTCATTAGACTTGAAAGTCCACAGAGTCTCCTCTTGGCTGAGCAAAGACTTCATGTCCCAAAGTTCATTAGTAGTAAATATATTGTCTTTTACCAAGACATCCTCCGAGGCTGGTGACCTCGACAGCGAGCTCCTGGAAAGATGACAAAGTAAAAAGAAATAAACTAACGGAGTCATTTTGGAATTTGTGGCCATGTCTGATCGATGTTGATTTGTTTGTATTATGCTCTGCTTAGGCTTGGTAGCCGCTCCAACAGCGCATTGTACGTGCAGGGGCTAACGTGTCCCAAGGTATTTTTAGGTACTTTATAGGTATTTTATCCTTTTTATTATTCATCACTAGGGAATTTGAAGCCGTTTTCATATGAAAGCGAAAACCGTTCACAGTTTTCCCACTTCTTTTCAAATTGTGCGGAAGTAGCTTGGGAAGTAAGCAGGTATATACTTCATGGGCGAATGTCTGCACAAGTGCATTGAGTATTCTACTTCCGTGTAAACTACACTGAAGAGATGGACACCGATACATACATACATACGTTTATTCCACGTTGCCAAGGGGCTTTTCAGTGAAATATGTAACAAACAACAATAAAATACAATAACATTAATTCTATGTGAATAAAATTTAAAATGCACTAAGAAATTCAAATCTAATAGAAGCTAAAGAATTAGAAGATTTAAAGTATTCCGTACTAGATAAATTCAGTTAGCTATCCATTAAGAGTCTTTTCCTCATCAAGGTCTTAAAATGAGCTAACGATTAACTTA